CGGAATAGCATAGCGGGCCTTCATGTAATAGCTCCCTTCGTAATCATACCACCACTCTCAACATGACTCATCAATTTGTTGGAAACACAATGTTGTATTACCTTACCGTTGTAGTGGAAGTTTGTTAACCGCCCCAAAATGAGGTGAGACATTTTGACACAAAGGTTCATTACTCGAAGAACGGACATCGTTCTGTATCGATAATGCTCGTAGATCGTGGTCAATCTTCTTAGTGTTTTTTTAAACAAATTACTCACATGGTTCACTACATGGCTTTTGCCTTTTCAAGAGGACAACTTTTCCTAATAAAATGGCAGTCTGGGCGCGGCATAGGAGGCAGGTGTTGAAGCGGATTGTTGCAAGTGTTCCGAAGATACCTTGAAATGAATATCGATTTCAGTGTCTTCTGAACGAACTCGGCCCAGCATTGGGTGCTGAGAAACTCGCCAATATCCTTCTCTCAATCGCCTCCTTCATCGATCTCGCCGAAAAACGCCGAAACTATCTTGAAGTCTGTGATCTGATGTCAACATTGAATTTGTCATCGTTAGCCAAAGGAGTATACCTGAAACAGTTTGACCTGTAGTTGATTACATTGTTTCCATTCTAGTCGGAATTGAATGAATTAACGAAAACCCACCGTAGGTTAAACTATGCCTGACGTCACCTTTGGATCCTAGGTCGTTTGAACGCGAAGCAGACCTATGACAGCCAATCATCAGTTCGGCATTTTTTCTTCCAATAAGTCTAATACTAGTCATCAACGATGAAAGGATTAATCCTCATAATAAGTATGGTAAACTGGTTGTTCACGCTTAGAACGCTTTAACTCACTACCTCTGGTTAGAGAAACGCTTATCACTATTGTCATTATTAACTCGCAAGTTTCGCTCTCTCCTGTACAAATACTCGTATGCACCTTCGATGAGTTGTATTTCAATCGGCTCTGCCATATCCTGGTCATTGGCGGTAACCTTGTGGCAAGGAGGAATTGCTCGCATACGTATTTTTTAATTGTGTAAACTGTTTCATAAAATGATTAAATACCAGAAAACTCGCGATCATCATGGATTTACTTTTAAAGCAGTCCGAGTGTGCTTAGAAGAGGGGGTCTTTATGGCGACTGATTCAATCTCGCGCTCTTACGAAAATGATTATTCAAAATTGATCGTGTGCACTGCCTAGCAGATTTGATTGTTCTTTCAGCCCGTCTATTGCATAGCGGCGGCTACACAGCAACGGTCGCAAGACATGGCAAACCAAAGTAGACGACAAGTAGAAAAATAGGAGGACGAGTTCTCTGTTGAGCCTCGCACACAGCGGTCAAAAGTTCGGAAACTTTTTTTTCGGTATAGCGTAGCCAGAAAAGATCGAAATTACCTCAGATTTATAAAAAATATGCGTAGTCAAATGAAGAATACGACAGGCATCGCGGTTTCTCGAAATCGACAATCGTTTCTGAAAAATATGATTTTTTTTGAACTCGTAATTATTTTTTTAGAAAATTAGAAAAGTCAAAAGTTCAGAAACTCTACAGTTCCAGAGTAAATTCAGCACAATAGCTCACAAATCCACATGAAAATGTGGCTTCTTTAGACAATTCTGTGACAGAATCGTTTTCAACCGACATTGAATTGATTAGAACATCATTTCTGAACTTTTAAGTTGTAGTCTACAAAGTCGTAAACCAAATCGAAATTTTCTTCGGAATTCCGCATGTCTTGTGGATTGCACGATATGTGAGCTCTCCTCTGAGGGGTACAACTCAAATGGACTTCAGATCTTGATTTGGTTTCATCATGTAGCATTTCTTTACTGAATTTAGGAGGGTAGGCATAAGAAAGTAGGCATGCATCGAATCATTGTCATGATAGAAAACCTATATTCTGGAGAATTTTGATTATCGAAAAGAAGCAGTGTTCATCAGACTATTCTTGTATTATATTTAGCCCACATTTCACTGGATACTGAGACCTGGGAAATCGCCGAGTGGTCTGGCACGTCTTCATCTATGACAACATTTCCACTGTTTCTAACTCTAGGATTCTAACACCTAAAATCAGGCTTCATTTCAACA